AGGAGCCGTGAATGGCCCCTATTTGTTCGAGTGACGCGGATCTCACTCTCTGAGCCCTGCATCGAAAGGTTTTGGAGGGCCCAACCTGACCACACAGATCTGAACTTACGGAAGCCATTCTCCCTTTCTTCACAGAAATGCTCTTGGAAGCTCTGCTTGTTGCAATGCCGCTGCAAACAACAACAACAACAACAACAACAACAACAACAACAACAACAACAACAACAACAACAACAACAACAACAACAAACAACCATAACAACCATAACAACAACCATAACAACGATAACAACCATGACAACCATAACAACCATAACAACCATAACAACCATAACAACCATAACAACCATAACAACCACAACCAGCAGCACGACGACATGAAGAAGACAAAACGAAGCAGAAAGCAAAAGGCTAGCACCAGAGGCCGTCAAATGATGTCAAATGCCACTGGTCTTGCGGTCGTCATGAACAAAGGCCCGCGTGCCTTCCACCACGCTCCGAACGAAGCTAAGCAAAACGAAGTGCCTCTCAGAGCCTTGCTTTGGAGAAACTTGGGTTTTAGTCAAGCTTTTGAGTCAAACATGTCTTTTTCGCTGCAAGCGCAGCTTCAAGTGACACGTAATCCTCTGCTCAGTCGCATCTTGTAGGCCGAGTTGCTTTCATCGCGTTTCCAAGCCATGGCGTCCAATGGTTGAAGCGTCTGATGGCTATGGTGGAGGGACATCCAGGCTCCAGGCATCAGAAAGGACAGAAATGACAAGACTGACAAACAAAAAAAAGCATCCATTCCAGCAAGTTGAGCATGCTCTCCGGAAGTGGAATTTTGATGGGCGGGTTACCTCTCAAAAGTAGATCTTGAATGTAATAGTAGGCTGGATTTCACAATGCCCTTCAACGGAAACTGAATAAAGAGAGACCTTGTCTTGACCCTTCCTTTGGATTTGCTTGAATGGCGAGGCAAGCTTGCAGTACTGATGCATCAATGCATCAGCCAAACATCTGCTCTGGACACACCTTTTCCGTCCTCAGATGGCTCACTGTACATCTCTTGTTCTATTAACGATGACGCTGGCTTTGGTGGTTGCTCCACAGAACAACTGGATATGCAATTTGCATATATTTTGATTCTGCCATTCCATCGAGCAGACCAAGCCAAGGATCTTCTCATTCCAAAGATCCCCCATGGCTCTGAAAAAACGACGCCTTCAGGTGTCATGATTAAATATTAGGACCTACGGGAATGAGCTAGGACTTGGCTTCAGAGTACATGTCATGAGAGTATCTGCTGTAGCTGGCATGGCTCCAAGCTGTTGAATGTCGAGGTCAAGGAATCTGCCAAGCCATAGCGAGCACGCAAAGTGCAAGCGTTGACGACCAAAAGGAAGACGCTGCGATGTCCCGGCTGCAGCTCAAGAAGAGTATGTCTGCAAAACAGAAATGATTGCCTGCTCTCACTGGACCACTCCGCAGAGCACTTAATGAGGGGCTTGATGCTTATATGGTCTTTTTTTACCAACTATATATATATATATATATATCATTTTGCTAAGAAAATGCATGCGTGTTTGATCTTGCCTTTCACGATCATAAGTCGTGCTGATGGGTTCGCCAGCACAAAGATGGTAGTCTAAAAACGGCTGGCACGAAACTGTGCCGCACCAACTAAGTTGCCTCGATCATCGAGGTCAGAAGCTAACTGGAAGAAGTCTTCTGAGCCTTCACTAAGAACGGTCCGATTGCCAACTATCACCAGCCCGCTCTTCCTAGGGACCAGTACCAGGTAAGGAAAATGCCGATCAGGGTGAGGAAGCAGGACTTTCACCCAAGACAAAGCTGTTGCGACTACCTAAGGTTCCTCTTCTGTTCATTCCAAGTTGCGCTCTTGTCAAAGCAACATTGAGCAAGGTTGCCTCTGTCAAGAGAGAGATCGAGAGACAGGGAGTACAGGGCATTGCGCAACTATGGCACTATTCAACCAGCCGCAGTGCGAAAATGTTGTCATGTGTGCCGCTACAGTTGCAGTTTACCTTGAACCAGACACCCTACCTGCCCTACCTTGGCTGCAATTCCAATGTGCGACTCAAACGTCTGTCGTAGAGCGGGATTGTTGGCTGTGACCGCAACCTTGCCGATGCAAAAACTGAACCCCTTTGCACTGAACCAACTTCAGCCTTTGCCAAGAATCAGTACAGCAACACAAGAGAATACACCGCTGTCAAAGACCGCCATTGATACAAGCAGCGCGAATTTCAGTCTCTGAGCCCTGCATTGCAAGATTTTGGAGGGCCCAACCTGGCCACTCACAGATCTCAAGGTGACAAAAAGTATCAAGTTCAAGGACAAACATCTTGCTTGTTCCAAGTCTTCCATGACACTAGCTCACTAGCTGCTAGCTGGAAAAAGGCCACAACGATGCAGTTTCTGTCTTGCATTTTTGAAGCTGTAGCATGTTCTCAATGCCCTTGGGCCTTCAGCCACGCTTCGAACGAAGCTGAGCAAAACGAAGTGCCGCTCAGAGCCTTGCCTTAGAGAAATTGCGTGAAAATATTCAAACTCAGTAGGTTGCAGAATTAGAATCCAAGATGCAGCTAGTTTTTTGAGATGATTCAGTAACCATCAGTAACCCTCCCTCCATATCGAGTTGCATGCTAAAGACCGTGCCCACTGCAGTTGCGGAAGCATTTTTCCCCAAGGTGCCAGGGAGATTATTCAATTTCCTTAGCAGCGCATCCTAGAAGGCCACTGGAGCCCTTTAAGTATCTTTAAGTGAAGCACAGACCATAGAAAAGTGTGCCAAGCAATAGGATAGGAATCAGCTTGTAAATATATAATTCGGCTTTCCTTCCCAATGTCCTGATGAGGACCAAAAATGGAATACAAGAATGGGATAAGGGCAAGCTTCCTTTCAATGTACTGCTGCTGGGCTTTGTAGGGTGTAATGATGGCCACGTCCCTAGCTGTGCAACAGCGCTCCGCTAGCAAGCGCTTGTATGCCTTTCAAGCGAGGCAGTGTATTCTGCAACTGCATTCAGACAATGACAGAGCTATCAATGCAGAGAGAAACACTATGAAAACCTTGAGCTCCCAAACTGCATCATTTGTTCAGCAGCCCAGGTACTTCCACAATGATATCTGCTTCACCCGGGTTCTCCAACGATGTATTGTTTTCCAAGACCGTCTCATTGAGGCTTCCTTGAATGTTTCGGTTGCCAGTGCAACTCCCACCCCAGGCAGCACAAGCGGGAAGTCCAGCTGGGTGAAATTGTCACAAAGAAAAAGGAACCACATTGCCAAATGCGAAAGCAAGCGACTAGAACTCCCCACCTGGATGACTCTGCCAAGTTGGTGTGGGCTGTCACAATCAATCCATACAACGCGCTGGTTTGGCCGTGGAAATACTGATTTGGCAGCGTCCAGCAAGATCAGATTCTCCACATTCTCCAGCCGATCGTTGTAGAAGTGTTTTGACGGGAAGTGAGAGATGGAAGTGTGCATTCGGTACCTCATTGAGTGGCGGAAGGTTGACCAAGGTCTCTTGCGTGGGGGGATCATTCTGAAGCAGTGAAGCAGGCAACCAAATTTTGTTGGAAAGCCTTTCGCAAGGACAAATTCTAAGTCCAAAGTCCAGACTCAACCATTGCCTTCGAAACCTGACCTCCTTTAAATATGTAAATGGCCACTGTTTACATTCAAGTCTGGGAGAAACACGCCTGATCCATTGGTCCCACAGTCCCACTCTGAACTTTATCTTGTTGCCAGTAGAAACATGTGAAGCAATGAACAAGGCAGACTCACCAGTTGAAGACGACTGAGAGCCCCAGTGCAGATCATCAGTTAATCTAATACTATGCCAGTCAAACATGAGTCTGGACAAAGCCAAGCAAGCATTTTGCAATTGAATCACACTAAACAAGCTTGGTGTTCTTCCCAACAGCAACTGAGTCTCAATCGACAATTTTAACATTTTGAGGCCTCTGGGAAACAAAATCGGCAGCCTTGTCTGGAACCTCAGACGGATTCTCCAAAAATGCTTCTGCAATTTCTCCACGACCACCCTTCCGAGCCCCAAGGATTGTGCCAATAGCCGCCGAAGTGCTGTTTTTGCAGCATTGTGCTGGGCAATCGCTGGCGGTGTTGTTCCTTTCTCTCCGCAAGTCTCTCTAGAATTGGCCTCAAGATTCAAACCACTGCATTTCCACTCATGCAGCGCAAGAAGGAAGAGCAACCTATGTACAGTGCAATGATACTTCCCCGTACATCTGAGCAAATGTTGGCCGGAATAGTTCATTCGGAGTTGCAGATTCCGCAGAGTGATTAACGTTTATATGGGTGCCATATGGGCGGTTAGTGCCAGCCAATTTGTCACGTGTTCTTGAGCGGGAAAAAAAGGAGGCAGCTGGTTCTTGAAAACAAACCCTTGAATGTTCAAGCCACAGAAGGCAAAGCAAACAAGGGACAGCAAAGCCTAATGGATTCAGCCTTTCTCCTACCAGACAATGGAAACCCAGTTGTGTAGATACTGTATGCACTGACGAAACTCAGCATCGGCCTCTCCAACATGGACAGGTACGCCCTGCAGAGGTTGTGCTCGGTCACCACAGGACCAAGCTGCTTGTGGTCGCCCACCAAGATAGCTCGATCCTGTGCACCTTGAGCAGGGAATGCCGATGGCATCATGTCTCCCTTCATACCCTTCCAGCAATCTATGGCCTGACACAGATGCATGAACACATGCACAAATAAATATGCAAATCATGCAAACCAATGTCAATGTTGTTCTTAAAATGTATCCATCGTATATAATAACACAAAGAGGTATATGTTTCTTGTGTATATGTGTATATACATGAGTTCTACTGAGTTGTATAATTACAGACGTGCATGTAAGTGAGCCTGGATGGGATTCAATGCAAAAAGCATGCCAGTAGGTACAGACAGACGCAGGGACCCATATGTACACACATAGACTGAGCAGCGGGCAGGCAGACAAACAGACAAACAGACTGACATATTGGCTGACCGAGACATACATCCAGTGACCAACTGACAGACAGACGGACAAACGTAGTTTTCGGGGTGTTGTATCATTGTGGTGAATGAATTGTTTGTGAGGCATGCACGAACACACACAAGCCGTTGCCAAACAAACAACTCAGCAAAGACGGCACCAGCCGGAAACGAACAAAGCCTGACACAGCTATACACAACTTTCCAACCACAGCATGTCCAAGAGTCGCATGACGCATAGCACCACCTCAGGCTCTGTTGCCTGCGCACACTCATCAACGACCACGGATCGGAAGGTCACACTCTGGACACGACCTGGCAAAGCAGGAATGATCAAACTCTACACCCACCGGTTGACCAAACTGACTGGAATACTCAACCCAGTTCTACACCGAACCGCACTCGAGTCGCGATAAATTTGGTGAAAACTTATATTATATAAGCATATATAAGCTCCAATACACTTCAAAAATACGACAGCTAAGAAGACGGCTTTGCAGGTATTTCTTGCCTCGTCGTGTGCCCTTCTTGCCCTTGGTCTGCACATTCTCATCGATCTCTTTGAGTGCACCATGAGACATTGCAGAAGAACAGGTTGTGATCCTTGATGACAAGAACCACATGTAGTGGAAAAATGCAGCTTCGAAAGTTTCAAGTGGTTTACATGTTTTCTCCACTACGTCTGGCCAGACCCATTGAGCCCAGTCAGAACTACCTGTTCCTCGCTCGACATAGATTCAATATTGCAGACTGTTCCCAGGGTTCCAAGAAGATCTCAAATGGTAGCCCGAAACTAGGCCCATCCTGAACACATGTGTCGACAAGATTCACAATTCTGCTCTTCTTGAGGATCTTTTGTTCTGCGTCCTCATATGCCTAGCATGTGCATCGCAGTGTAGTCAGAGGCAAGATGCAGCAACTGTGAGGATCGCAAATCAAACCCTTGCTCCAAACAACTCATTGGACATTTATCATTTATTGCCGATGCCGCATGCCTTATTTTCCAAGAAAGGAGGACACCAGCTAAGTACCAATTGTTTTAATTTGTTTTAATGAGTGACTGCTACCATCTCCCCTCAACAGGCTTTCCAGAGTCCATGGCTCACACTCTTCCACAGGGCCTCGTCATACTCAGGTGAACCTTCTTTCTTCTGTCGAACTTCCTGCCGAAGCCGGAGCCCCAAATCTGAATAGCCCGGCATTTCTCTCTCTTCGATAGTTTCAGGAGAAGGCTCGCAATGTCAAACAGTCATTCAGAGGGCTGGTGCGTCCTGGGTTTGCATGACCTTGTTATGCAGCGCGTGTTCTTGCAGGAACTCAGCCACCTGCCAATGCCCCCAGCCAACATAGCATCTTCAGTGTGTATATAAACTGCAGTTTCGGCATCTTTTCTTCGCAAGTACTTCCCAAACGTTACATGTGGCCACGCCTGGTGCTGTGTTCGAATCAAGTTGGAATCCTTGGGCAAAACAGTTCGGTCTCTACTGAGATGCAAAAGATTGGTCAATTTGTGTTATCCAAAGAAAGAAGAGTATGGGAGCCATGAAGATCATGAAGGTTCTAGAATTGCAGAACATCAGAAACATGAGAAACATGATATATCATGATATAGAACAAATGAGAAAACAATGCCTTACCCGAAGGTCCAGCAAGTTTCCAGGCGAAAGCAGCTGGTGATGCATCCGAGTCTCGTGGGGATCCCAACCGTGGCGCAGTTTGCTGCCATACTTGTACTCAATGGTCCGTGCATACACTCGAGTAATGTATTGCTCGGGAATGTTTGTCTCCTTCCCCAGGCCAGGTGAAAGCACTTTGCATATTCCTTCATCTTGCTCATAGTTCAAGCCTTGTTCAAGGCTAACCTGTTACGACTTACTACTTACAGATAGTTGCAGTACAATCCCTCAAGAAACAAGATGCAGCCCACGAACCCGAATGCATTCACGTAGAACACTTTTGTGAAACAAATTATTTGAACAGTCTACAGTTTTTCCCCTGTTACCCTACCAGTGCACTGTAGACTGTGGAATGCGACAGAGGGTGGAGTGCAAAGTGTGAAGTGTGGAGTGTGAAGTGTAAAGTGTGGAGTGTAAAGTGTAAATTGAAAAGTGCGGAGTGAAATGTGTAACATGTATGTGGAGTGTAAAGTGCAAAGTGCGGTGTAAAGCGTCAAGTGTGGAGTGTAAAGTGTAGTGTGTAAAGTGTGCAATGTAAAGTGTGGAGTGTAAAGTGTGGAGTGTAAGGTGTGGTGTGTAAAGTGTAGAGTGTAGAGTGTGGAGTGTGCAGTGAGGAGTTTGTGGAAGCACAGTGTAAAGTGTAAAGCGTGAATGTGGAGGGTAAAGTGTAAAGTGTGGAGTGTCAAGTGTAAAGTGTGGAGTGTAAAGTGTAGAGCGTGGAGTGTAAAGTGTAGTGTGTGGACTGTGGAGTGTAAAGTGTAAAGTGTAAAGTTTAAAGTGCAAAGCGGAGTGTAAAGTGTAAAGTGGGGAGTGTCGTGTGTAGACTGTGGAGTGTAGAGTGTGGAGTGCGGGGCGTAAAGTGTGGAGTGTAAAGTGTGGAGTGCGGAGTGTAAAGCGTAAAGTGTGGAGTGTAAAGTGTAAAGAGGGGTGTGTGTAGAGTGTGGCGTGTAGAGTGTGGAGTGTCAAGTCTCAAGTGTAAAGTGCAGAGTGTGCAGTGTAAAGTGTGGAGTGTATAGTGTAAAGTGAGGAGTGTGGCGTGTAGAGTGTGGAGTGCAGAGTGTAAAGTGTAAAGTGTGGAGTGTGGAGTGTAAAGTGTAAAGTGTAAAGTTTAAAGTGCAAAGCGGAGTGTAAAGTGTAATGTGGGGAGTGTCGTGTGTAGACTGTGGAGTGTAGAGTGTGGAGTGCGGGGCGTAAAGTGTGGAGTGTAAAGTGTGGAGTGTGGAGTGTAAAGCGTAAAGTGTGGAGTGTAAAGTGTAAAGAGGGGTGTGTGTAGAGTGTGGAGTGTAGAGTGTGGAGTGTCAAGTCTCAAGTGTAAAGTGCAGAGTGTGCAGTGTAAAGTGTGGAGTGTATAGTGTAAAGTGAGGAGTGTGGCGTGTAGAGTGTGGAGTGCAGAGTGTAAAGTGTAAAGTGTGGAGTGTGGAGTGTAGAGCGCGCAGTGCGACGTCTGAAGTGCTGCGCCTGCCACGCAAAATGGTGATGGAGGTCTCCAAGGTGCTGAGCCGCGCCTGCCACGAAATCTGCAACTCATCTTCTGAAAAGGACGTAAAAGCATCGCGCATGCCGAACAAAACGACTTTCGACACGTTATCAAACAGGGTGGAATGTCACAAAGTGCCACGCCTGCCGCGCAAAACGACATGACAACCTGCCTGGAAACCTTCGAAAAGGAGAAGTCTTGCAGCTTCCCCCATGTACACGGCGATGCCACAAGAAAACCAGAGAATCGAGACGAGACATGCAGGAGCCTCAAAACGAGCATTTGGTGCGAGACTTCCTCCAATTTTCATACTTTGTAGCTTCAAAATCGGCGTTTTCCTACGAATTTTTTCATGAACCTCAAAATTTGCCACCTCAAAATCGATGTTTCGTGCGAGGCTTCCGTCAATTTTCATCACATCTCGCGGAGGTTGTCACCACTTCACGCAGCCCTGACAATGCGATTCACAAAAAACACGCAACACGACACATCTAAAGTGCTGCACCTGCCAGGCGACATGACCATGGAGGTCTCCAAAGTGCTGCGTCCTGCCACGAAAACTGCAACTCATCTTCTGAAAACGACGTAAAAGTATTGTGCATGCCACACAAAACGACTTTCGACACGTTATCAAACAGGTTGGAATGTCACAAAGTGCCACGCCTGCCACGCGAAACGAGGCTACGCGACGTTTGAAACCTCCAAAAGTGACCCCTTTTGCAGAACTCGCCATAGGCACGGCCATACGGCCCTCACGCAACGTCGAGCGAACACACCCTCAACCCCCAGACCCCCAGAGTGAAACGGGAACCCTTGCCACGCATTTGGGAAAAACAAACGCGAAAAAGGACAGCAGCTAGTGCAATTTTAAAGGGCGAAGTTTGCATCATCAATCGTAGTCATCAATCAAACGAACTTTAATGGCACTTGGACACTAATTCGAAAAGATTCCCAAAGTGTTCAGAAGGCTTGGATGAAATCAGTCTTCCAGAGACCCAACACTTTATATTCTGTCTATATAATGAAAGTAAGTAGGCAAGCAGGCAAGCAGCCTGAGAGGTCTCAGACTATCAGAGGCAAAGAATGCATAAACTCTTAGCAAAGTCATCTGCAAAGTCCCTTGACCTAAGTTGACCTACTACACAAGTCCTATCGTGCTACGATTGAACACTGACATTTTGCCCAGTCAAAAGTGGCCAGGAAATGATGTAAAGCTGCCTGGATCAGCCTCCGAAGGCATTCGTCAGCTGCTTGGTTCGATGGAGTGGTGACAAGGATTCGGCCAAAGGAGTCCTGGAATCAGGGCAGCCGCAATGAGTCTATGTCATTCTATATTACCTACAGAAATCAGTTATCGTGTGTCAATCACGAGTGATAGAATTTGACAAATATTGATTTCTCTCCCGTTGAAAAGTCGATTTCAAACAGGTGCAGCATTGTCAAATTTGAGGTTAGAGGAAATGACCTTGAATAGCTTGGCCTTGCAAAGGAAGTACAACGAAAAGACCGAATAGGATTATCCTGCCATTTCGGTTCTCAGAGCTTGAGACAGCACCAGAATGGGATCCAAACCCAGGTCCTGTGCAGAGCCGGCCGCTTGAGTTCCAGTCCTGCTGTAGTTTCCGAAGGCAGCAAGTTGTACAAAAGCATGGAAGCAACTCCAGAGATGGAGCCTTGTTGACAAAAGCAAACACATCGAATGTTTCTACGTGATCTTGTCTTCCCGTCCTGACTCGTTGTACAGTGGGATCGACCTCTAGGTTTGCGAGTGAAGTGACCAGGTGAACCAGGAATGTTGCCTTGCCTGGAAACACCGGCTGTCAAAACAGCGAAAATGTGGCAGCCAAACTTCGTATTATCAATTTATCTTATATAAGTTGTCTGTAAATTGTCTCTACAAATGGTTCCAATGTATTAGAATGTTGGCTTTGGGGCCCTGCCGCTCATGCTCACAGATCTGTCGCATGTCCCCACCTGTTCCAGGAGGTCCTTGAACCACAGAAAACCTTCGTTGAAGACCTTGTTTCACCGCTTCCATCTGCAGGTCATTCAATGCACTAGCTGGCACCCGAAATTGCCCACGTCCTGTCAGCTTGCAAAACTGGAGTTTAGCCAGTTTAGCCATCCTCTTCCAAATCTTCCAATACAATTGGCACAGCAAGAAGATGCGCAGCATCAAGGCCAACAGTCGATTTCAAAACTGATATGCCGAACCTCCGACCGCAGCTTCAACTTGTTCACGAGTGGCCAGCGGTCTCATGTCTTTTTGCTCTTCCAGCACATTCTGAGGCTGCAGGCTTGTCCTGAGAGCTTCTCAAAGCTGCTGTTTTACTAAAACGCGTTGCTTGCAGAAATGGAAACAGGAAGCTGCCGGAAACACTATTTCCCCAAACTGCCATTAGAGAATTCGTATGAATTTGTGTCAAATCAAGACTCAGGACCATCACAGTTTTGCCAAGTGTCAAGTGTGCTGCCACAGGGCATTCCCTTCCTTGCCGAGTCTTCAACTTCTCAGGCAGTTTATTCATGAGCTTCAAATTCTGCCTGTCCACCACCGGAACTCCCACAATCCTCAGCTTGAGAAAACAGCGATCAGATGATCAGACAACACCCCTCCCACCCGAACCGCCAGTCGTCGCCCAGGGACTGGAGCTGAAATGCTGCCCCTCCACGGGTGCGATTGACCATGTCCAAGAACTGCTGCTGCTCCTCCAGAGGCTGGAACAATCTGTTGAAGAGGCATCTAACAAATCCTAATAATATCTAATATGCATCTTATGTGTGCAGTGTACCTACGGTCTTGTGTGCGAGTGCGCTTGCCGTGAGCAGCCTCTGTTCAACCACCCCATGAACAGCTTTGAAGGTGGAGAACTTGTTTCCGGGCCGCGGGTCATCTCCTGCAGTGCCAGGTAGCTCACTTCTGAGAGCTCCACCTCTAACCAGAACAAAGTTCCTGTGGACAGGTTGGCTGCTCTCCCGAACACGAAGAGGTAAGGAGGTAAGACAATAGGAGTCGGAGGAAGACGAATCAAAATCATCAAATGAAGCCATTCGTGTTGATTTTTCACTGCTCGTTGAGGGCGGGGTAGCACCTTCTGCCTCTTCTCCTGGATGTCGGAAGTCGCAGTGGATCTGTGGACAGTTCCTTCTGTTGCACATAGCTGACTTGTATTTCCTTTTCGCTTCGCAACTGGCAATCTCACCATACAGGAAGGCCTGCCAATTAGTTGTGCTTTGTGTGGGAAAGCATGCCTACGACTTGAACTTAATTGTTGAATGGTCGCGGAGCGACGGAATTTTATGGAAAGTCCATGTCATTCAATCCAGCATGTCTGACTGTGTCTGTGATGCTGCCATTTCACACGGACGGGTCTCATCAAACCTTCTGAACGTTCCCTGACGCGGATGAAAGCTAGCTACTAGCCTGACTTGTATGTGCAGTTCCTCATATCAACATGTGCCCAAGACAGCTCAGGCCTCTCTACCGTCATCTGATGCTCGGAGAATCGCAAGATCTCCTCGCGGGAACCGTGTATGCGGTAGGAAGATATTGAACATATTGATCTAGTCTAGTAACTAAAGCAATTTAAAGCAATTTAAAGCAATTTGAAGCAATTTATCATATCATATCATATCCAGAACTGCTCAAGAAAGGCATATGCGCGGTCCCGAAACCTCCCTGAGCTCACTGGCAGTCCTTTTTCAATCTTATCGTAGGCAGATTCTGGAGGAATCAAGACGCCTCACGTTGAAACTGACCCTTTCTGCAAGTATCTTTTCACAGACAACACAAAAACCAGGACAGAGACGAACCCAGATCGGCTACCTGGCATACAGTAAAAAGATTCAGACATATTCAGCCCAGGCCTACAATTGTTCACATTACACCTGAAGACTGCCTACATGCTACATCGGTAGTTATTCGACCACAGTGTCAGTGCAAGTTTGAGCCCCTCTTCAAGCCGCGGCACACGAAAACTTTTTCTCTTGTTCGAAGGTAAGCCGCACGGGCCGCATCCACCTGAAGTCAGTAGACATGGCATCTCACGTGACTGACAAAGCATTTCTCCAAAACAACAAGCACTGAAGGACCTCTAATTCTGCTCAATGTTCTGCACATATTACCTGTTGATATGGCTGCGATGTCGCGAAGTCCTTATCGCTACTCCAATAGGTTTTCGATGGGCCAGGGCCAGAAAGTGACTTGAGGGTGGGGATTGGGCGTCAGCTCACACAAGCCCGGTCAACTCCAAAAGATTGGCTAGGAGTTTGCCATTGCATACATTCTGTCCTCAAAAACAAGTATATTTGCAGAGGCACAAAAGCATCCCAGCAAAACTGCCCTTGCCGAGCAGCTCAGTGTATGCGGCTGTTTCTGAAGCAGCAGCATGAGTGCGACAACGCCAAATCTCAAACCAGGTTTCGGCATAGACACTCAAGTCCTTCTCCTTAGCAGAGAGAACAAGATCTCCAACGGCAGCGGTAGCTGTAACCAAGCCTTCGTCCAGGGTTACGTCTAGAATGTAGTATTATATCATATGAAATTGAACTCACTATGATTGTGCGGAAATCTCTATGATCGTGCTCGTGAAAAATTTGGGCTTACATACAGATCTAGGCCGCCCAAAATAAACTGTTCAAGTCTGTAGTCCGCATTGAATCCTTCATGTTTAGGTAGAAACACCTGTGATTTTAACTTCTTGGTTGTTGAAGGAACGACCACAATTCAGTGCATGCCAGTTGCCATGAGATGGACGTTCTTGAGGTCGGGGAACGCAGAAAAGACTTCAGGATACATGCGGTGTCCGATGTTCAGTGAAATTTTTCCTGGCACAAACAGTCTATCGAATGTAAAAGGGCATTGTGATTGATGTGGCAAGCAGACAAGCGCGGATTAGTCCGTACAATTCCATCACGAAAGCACACACACCTTGCACATTCCCCTTTGTATTAAGTAAAAAGGGTGGGCGTCACGATTCTATAGAGGTCCGGGGGGGCCTAGAAGTGAGACATCTATGGAATGGAACCCCATCTCTATAGAATGGAGGGCCTGGGCCAACAGATCTTTATAGAATGGAAACCCATCTCTATAGAATGGGACTTCCGAGGGTCTCACAAACAGAGACATGTCCAAAAAAGGGAGGAACCGGTGTTTGGATTGAAAAATACTTAATTTATCTTAATTTCAATGTTGTCCATTTTTTTGGGCTTATAAAATTGATTAAAATGGTACACAGGGAAGTTGTGAAATTATGTGAAAATCATGCGTTTTTGCGGGCTCTGAGAATATCATTCTATAGAGATTTTCGTAATATTCTGGTCGGCCTTGAAAACTTTCAAAGTTCCATTCTATAGGGTTTTTTGGTTTGTTCAACAACTCCGCCAGTGCCTATGGGTCCCATTCTATAGTGATTGGGGTTTGTTCAACAGCGCCCACTGCCCCTTTCTCCCATACCCATGGCAGCCCATTCTATATAATTATAGATGTTCGCAAATTGCTAGGAAGCATGGGCACCCTCAACTGCAGCACTACCGCTTCCGGAGATGTTCCCAGCTGCAGGCCGGAAACCTCTGAAAACAAAATGTTTCGGAAGCTTCCCGTCGCTGCTTTGACGTGCCTCATGCTGCATTCTGACAAGCAAACTGCCAACAGAATCCTGCGCAGTGCCATCTTATAGAGAGCCAACCTTTGCTTCCACCCGTGTAATGCCATTTTATAGAAGGCCAACCTTTGTTTCCACCTGTGTAGTGCCATTTTATGGACAGCCACCTTTCTGTCTCCACACCAAGCCTATAGAATGGCATTCATGACCAAATCACTTCAGGGTGCTTGCATTTTGAAGGCTTTAGCGCCCCACTCACCCCACCTTGACTCTTCCCAACCCATTGTTTGGAAGCATGGGCAGCTTAACTGCAGCACCACCGCTTTTCTGAGGTGCTCCCAGCTGCAGGCCGGAAACCTCTGAAAACAAAATGTTTCGAAGCTTCCCGTCGCTGCTTTGACGTGCCTCATGCTGCATTCTGAAGAGCAAACTGCCAACAGAATCCAGCGCAGTGCCATGGTATAGAGAGCCAACCTTTGCTTCCACCCGTGCAATGCCGTTTTATATAAGGCCAACCTTTGTTTCCACCTGTGCAGTGCCATTTTATGGACAGCCACCTTTCTGTCTGCACACCAAGCCTATAGAATGGCATTCATGACCAAATCGCTTCAGGGTGCTTGGAAGCATGGCCACCCAAACCCCTCCCCATGCTTCATTTTGAAGGCTTTAGCGCCCCACTCACCCCACCTTGACTCTTCCCAACCCATTGTTTGGAAGCATGGGCAGCTTAAACTGCAGCACCACCGCTTTTCTGAGGTGTTCCCAGCTGCAGGCCGGAAACCTCCGAAAACAAAATGTTCCCGAAGCTTCCCGTCGCTGTTTTGACGTGCCTCATGCTGCATTCTGACAAGCAAACTGCCAACAGGATCCTGTGTAATGAAGCACTGAGCTCTATAAGTAATTAAATGGAGTTTCGTTTTTTTGGAAAAACACAGCTGGTGTCTATAGAATGGGAAATGGAAATTCTGAGGTGATCGCTGTTGAGAACCCTGAATCTCTATAGAATGGAAACTCCAGCTTCCCTCAGATGAGGTCAAATAGCGACCAGTACTCCTCTATAGAATACAAGATTCAAACATTGAAAACCCACAAACCCCAGATCTCTATAGAATCGTGGGGCCCAGGGTCACCATTTCCTAGAGGAAATTCCAAGGGGGATCCTTGCACATGTTCTATCATTTTCTCATGTTCTATTTGTTCAGAAGTAAGAGTTCTCACGCCGCGAGTCTGGAAGAAGGTGTTTTGAAAAAAATGAAGAATACGGAGCTCCCAACACAGCAGTACACTGCAATGCTATATATTTCTTGGCACATAACAAGTGCTTTCAAGGGAATGGCATGCGCCAAATTGGCGCATGATATTAACATAGTTCAAAAGACAAGTACATGAGCGTTCAGACCGCACACTAGCTGGGCATGAAAAGAATTCAAAAGATATCAACTCTGGCACCTGAAGATGTGGTGAAGGTGATCTCAGTGATGAACATGGCGTTCGCAGAGGCATGGTGCTTGATGGGCTGTGCAAAGTTTCGGGAAATGGTGCAGCTCACCTCCTGATCAGCATTCAAGAATTCTACTTTTGGAACTCGGAACCCACTGCTCAACACGGACCCGTCCAAAGTTCCACAGTCACACGTCGACATACAACCGCTGCTTCCGAATTGTCAAGCATATTGCCCTTCAAAGGCGAGTCATTTTTTTTGGCTCGAGCTACCTTCCAGCTAAAAATGTGACCCATACTCTACGCCCCCCAGGCGCACCGTACTCCAGGGGCAGACACTCCAGCGACTTGCGGATTGACCACGCCAATGGTCCACATTCCTTCCACCCGGCCACCAGGGTCATAGGTGGCTCTAACAGGAATACACTAGCACCTATCTTTCATTGTGTATCCACTTGTCCGAGCACCGGTACTTTTGCCGATGAAGAATCGTAGGACAGCAGATCCCTCTAGAAATTAATTTCCCCCTCTTGAATTGATTCACCTGACGAGTGATGCAATTGCTGTCCAAGACACACGATCTTGAGCTGTTGCAACTCCGTGTCGAACTCCACTTGACACGTGGCACTTCGGATTGCACTGGTGGGGATGCTCATGCTGAAGTGAGTGCCAGAGCCATGTGGGAAAAGTACCTCCAAGGACGTTGTCTATACGCCACATATTCACATTTCGATCCATGAGGCACACAGGCGCCACAGCACAAACACATATATACTATGAGACAGAGTTTCCATGGAAAGCAAAACAAGTTTTTGCTGAAAAAAAGGGCCGCGCCTCAATCATCGAAGGTCCGACATAGCCCACGACCGCATTTCTCACTTTCTTCGAAGATGGTGCAAGCTCACGCATGTGAGAGATGTGGCGCATGACATAGCCGGCAAATCGATGGGAATCCATTCGAGCATTCGTGCGATCCACTGTTTCTTGCATCTGCTCTATTGTGGGTCGCAGCCAGGAGCAAATGCCGGGAGTCCATCCCTTGAACCATTTCAAGGCTCGTTGGCCCAACAAATCCTTAGCCCGGGGTGGGGACTTGTTTACTATGGAAAATGCATGTCAAACATTGTCAAATCAACTCCGTAGTCCCAACAGAGTCCAAGGCGCAATGTAGCGATTCATTGGTGCTGCCACATGGAAGATGCGAGGACGATGAAAGAGCTGCCCCTCTGTCGTCCCAGTGCTCCACGGAAGTTTTTCCCGGCCAAGGTGGTAAAAGCCACGTGGGAAACCCATCCGAATCTGACGAAGGAAGGCCTTCTGCAAAGCAAAACGCTGGTCAGGTGACAAATGTTCCTGGCCTTAGTGCCGAAAGGATCCGAAGGGTCTGCTTGCTGATTAAAGAACTCCTGACTTGACAGGCAAAGCACTAACACCGAGCGGCTGCTTCACAGAAGTTCCCTAAGGTATAAAATGGTTTGTCAAAAGGCACAAAAAGCATAGACATTGCCACAATGTGTTGCATGCCTTCAGCATGGGCTGTCGAGATTAGCTTGGGTCCCGGACCTAAGATCCTCGTGAGCGCTTCAACCGCTTCACTGGTTTGCACCCCTGTAGGAGCCGCTGATGGATGGTACTGAAGTAGTCGATGCAAAGCCCGGTGGTGCTGAGTGTCGGCTCGACCATAGACAAAGCTGGGCATAAAGTTTACATCTGTGAGTGTGAAGTCTGCATCTGTTTGTGCTGACAGGAAGGATTCCCAAAGGGACTGCCGGTCAAGGACTTGACCAGCATACAGGTTCACCATGAAAGACAAACACTCCACGATTCTTCGAGTCTTGAGAAATCCCGCGACAGGCAGCTGAAGGCCCACCTGGGGTTCCCAATGCTCGAAAGGGAATGACTGACCTTTCTGAAATGCCGCCTCTTCGAACAGATCTGTGATGAGACTGAGCTTCTGGAGAGTTGCTCCCAAACCTGAACCTTCAGCCATTGCTTTCTCGGCTTCGGCAAAGGTGAGCCGCCGGTCACAGCGCACAACAGATTCACAGTAATTGTCCTTAGGTTTTGGCATCAAGATCAATATGATTTTTGCAGAAAGCTTCGCCCTTGCCCTCATGTTTAATGTTAAGTCTGTTAAGTGCTCATTCACCATCTTTTTCGTTGACGTAAACTGGAAAGCAGGTGCTTGTGGAGACAAAGAATCTTCAAAGGCCCACAACCAAGGCTCTGGGGCGGCTTTCCTCTTTGGAATTTGGATCCCGTCGCCATCAAGAGAAAAGCGGAATGTCAAAGCCAACCTAGCGAAGGGCAGTTTCTACTTCAATCAAAACACAAACTATCAAACTTCTTTGGTTCAACGTCACGGGGGAAATGTATAACGCATTCACCGTCGACTGTTGACCACCGATGGCCTATCTTCTCCTTCGGCAAAGTCAATCTTCGAAGTAAACTCCGGCTGCAACAGGGGCAAGTTGCTGCTGACTGGCTGGTCCTGGGCAAAGAACTCTGAGATATGCCAAGAATTTTCTAAGATGCTGGATGTTTGGATATGTTTGGCATGTCCTGCAGTCGACATCTCCTGACATCTCCCACGTCAGCCGTGGCTCCTTGCAATCCAACAGCCAGGCTCCACAGCTCCGTGCCCGTGCCTGAGCTTCCAGATCCTTCCCAGACACCTCACGGCGTTCAACGAGTTCAACGAGTTCAACGAGTTCAACGGAAGTTTTTCGCTGCGAAGTCGGAATGCACGGTAGTTCAACGGAAACCCAATTTGTGCAGCACGAGCCTCTTGAGAAAGGTACTCTGTCACATCGATCACATGCACCTCACAGCGACAATAAAGTCCCCAACTGGTGGACTTGGTGGGCTTGGGGGGAAGTTCAAGCTACAAAAGAATCGCATGTTTGACATTATGATCATGATGCATTAAGTGTTTTGCTTTTCTTCTGGCTGTGCCCATAAGAGTTAAAGGTAGGGCCAGCTGAATAGCTGTCGAAAACAACGTACAGGCGCGAGTAGCAAGACTGCCTTGTCTGTTTTATCCCGTCCGTAAGTTTTTCACAGCGCAACAGGGCGGGATGATCAGAAGACAGTTCACCTGGCTACAATCCTGCAGCTTCCCATGCTCCCAGGCACCCTTATCTCGTTCTCGTTGATCGAAATAGCCATATTTGCAGGCCAAGTTTGATGCTCGATGCAAAGGGTAAACATGCCCCGCAAGTCCTGCATGCACGAGGAGTTTGGTGCAGTAGATATCCCTCATGCAACGGTTACACCTCTCTCATCTGAAGCCTCTAAATATTAATGCTCATGACTTATGACATCTGATGACTACAAAGTGAAGAAACACCTCAGTGTATCTACCAAATGCAACGCAAGCGAAGTCTCCTCCCTCCGGTCGATCTCTGGCAGCTTTGCGATGTCCTAAACAAGAAGCATCTGCAAACAGCACTTCCCCTCTTTTAACTTCTCCATGAAGGTGTGGTGTGAGTGAAATCGTCCATTCCAAAATTGAGAACTATCAAAACACTCTTTCAGAGTAGTTAGTTGAACAGTAGCTTTTCTTCCACCCGTTCAAAAGCCATGCTTATCAATCCTTCTCTTGTCTCTATTAATGACATATGATTGGATTCAAGTGTTCGGTGTCAACGGTTTCAAACTTCCCGTCCTGGAGCCCGGAATCCACAGGAATTGAGCTGTAGATTGAATGGTCTTCCCAGTCACAATAGTTCAGAGATCTCTTGATGGAATACAGCACCGACTCATCACTATCACGGGATCGCATGTTCAATTCCTCCTCATAAATTCCAACTGGATGGCCGATCTTTTTGGGGCCTTTGTCGCTTTTCCAAGATTGAAGCTCAATCACATGAAGATCGTAAAGATTTGGCGCTTCCTTCTGTGGATTCCACGGGACTGCAATCATCGGAAATTTCCCATTGATCGGCCGGAACATCATGCTGGTGGTGCTGCGAACGAGGCGAGAACGCATACAGACCACTTTGTCTTGTCGTGGGCTGCGCTGCTCTTGCGAAAGGACCACATGACCAAAAAAAGTTGTGAGCTGAGCTGTGGCAGCATTCCAAGGGCGGGACATGTCCTGGTCTTGCCCACGTCTCGTGCCATCAGTCGCTACCCTTGCAGCCAAAATCTTCACCCAGCAGCGATCATGATCCCAGGCACGCTTACGGTTCATATTGCCGACGACATGCACACGGCAGCCCAACATCTTCCTCGGAAAAGGGCTTCATCAAAGGATTAAAGTTCTAAACTGATCAGTCTCTGGAAAATGATGAAAAATGTTTCCACGCTTTGGATCTTTTTGGGGATCCCAGTCCAGCAAACTACCGTGCGACTGAAACAAAAAGCTCTGTGCAAAGTCAGTCGTCTTGGGTCCTTCATCCACAACCAGCTGTGCTTTGGATCTCCGACCTCTGAAGTCGGATCCAGAAACAACACGGAACGTCCCAGAGACCAAGCGCCCTTTGAGGTCTCCGATGCAATGGATGTCTCCTTGCGTGTTCCTGTGTCAGAACGTGATGAGTGCTGAAATAAAACATGCCAAGTGCAAAATAGATTTCACACAAACAATAAAATCATATAAAATCCTGCCAAGCCACATTTCAGCAACCACTTCCTGAAGCTTTGCATGCTCCGAAATGACTGTCTCCTCGTCTTCTTCAAACTGGCCATCCCAATAGTCTGGAACATCTTCTTCACTGTCCGAGCGGAAGGATTCGTCGTCGCTTGCTTCATCCACAAATTGGCTCTGAGGAGTGCGGTGTGGTGATGAATTCTCCGATTCAGTTCCGGGTCCACTTGAAGCAGGTGCGTGCGTGGTATGGAAGCTCTCTCCAGTCACCCGCATTTTATCTTCTACCGCCCCACCTGACGCTCCAGAATCCATGCGAGGACTGGATGCCATTGGACTGACAGGCGTCAAGTAATGGCTTGGCGGGTGTAGTGGAGGTGGTGGAGGGTACTTCGGAGCTGCTATCGGGTTCGATGGCATTGGAGCCTGTGGAGGATAGGGAGGAGGCGGAGGAGGATTTACTTCTGTTGCAAACCCTCCAGAGTCAACATCTCTTGGACTTTCAGGACCTTTTGCCAGAGCTTTGGCTGAATTTTTGAGGATTGAAACCAGCTGGGTCTTGGGCTTCTGCGGAGCAGCCTCCGGTTTCTTTGGGACCTGCATCAACTTCTGTGCCCAGGTGAGTTGGGGTACTGGCTCCACAGGCGTAGCTTCAGCAGAACCGTTCGAATTCGTGGAAGCCTTGGATCGAGACACATGATGAGCCAGGATGGATTAGCCACCACCTCAAACAAAAGACAAGACAAAACCCACTTGACTAGGTCCTAGGCCCCGATTCATGCAATGAATAAGGTGCAACACATAAATTCCCAATCGACAAAAGCACTGTATATGGCCAGTGCGTCATTCCGAGAGGCAGAAGATGGTGGCACGCTGACTGCTGGGGAATCAAGTCGGGAGATGGGATCGAGCAAGTCCTTGCAGTCCCCATGAGTGAAAGCTAGGCTGCGCAGAAAGATGACATTGCCATGGTCAATGCCAACCGATCTCACCCACTTCTATGACTGTTGTCTTAGTGTGAAAGCAAAGCTGTTCCTCTTGGAGCAGTGGATCAATTTCCAAGTCAAAATTGGTCATGTTCGGCCGTTTTTGGTGGGTCATTGCATGTGTCCATGTGTTCTCCTGGACTTTCTGATCTTCAAGGCCTTGCACAAGGACTGAGATGTGAAGAAGTCTAAATATCCTTTCAAAACATGCGAATTTGGGGCTTTTGACGGAGGTCCTGTACTTGCTCAAATTCATTGAGTCGGTGGTGTACAGTCAGTATGTGGGGGAAAGCACAAACACAAGATTGGAATCCACGTAAGAATTGATCTTTGCATGGCCTGGCGGGCTTCTTGTTGGTACTGCCTGCACACAAGATTCTGATCTACTGAACCCCAAGCATCTTTGTTCTGAGAATCCTGAGGATGTCAAGGCAGCCGATTCTAATCGTTTGTGTTATTTAAACATGCATGTCGCATTGGCTTGAATCGCAGGGCATCGTAGACTGGAGACAGCACACACACAGGGTCCTTCGCAACCTGCTCCTTTTAACAAGATACAACAAGCACATCTTCAATTGAGAGGATTGGCAGCTCGATATACAGTATCCCTTTCGATTTGACCAACAACTCCCGATTCGATTCCCAAGCAGTCTGCTGAGGCAATGCCATGTCCGCTCGCCCATTCGCATGGCCTGCTGGTGCAATGTGTCATAAGATGGTGGATCACAATCCTTTTTGCATGTATATATATATATATACACTGTATATACCACTTATATACCCATATGTTTGTTGAAGACATGTCAAGGTCAAGCGGGTCGGCGGCTGTTCACAGCTATTCTAGTTTGACTCGCCCAAGCCTGGCGCTTGTCTTCCAGAGTCACCATTTTCCTGCAATAAAGCATCTGCTGCCTTTGTGGGACTCTGCCAATTAGTGATTCAGTGTCTTCGAATTCCATGGAAAACCTGCTGAAAGTTGCACAATTCTCTCCTCTATTGTCTTGACCAGTTCAAGTTGGACTTGGCGAACCGGACAGGCGCTCGAAGAGGACCTGACAGCGGCAAAGGATAACAAAGCACGATTTTGTGTAATTTACTTCTGATCTCATTTGGTGCCTCTCTGCTCCCATGGAACGCAGACTGACCTGCCAGAATTCGAGTCGGCAGTCAGTGAAGAGTGCGTATCAGCACTGATATCAAATTATTTTTTCCTGTTGTTCACTCCATTTCGTCAAAATCGACCACCAGTTCCTTGAGTTCCCACCCCTCGCCTCAGCAGCCTTCTCCTGAAGCAACTGTAATTGTTGGAAATCTGAACAAAATTGAACAAACTACCATTTAGAAGGCTCGAAATGGTCGAAAATGCAGGGGCAACTGAGCCTCCACAAATGGCACAGGCACTGCCTGCCATTGGGCCATGCTTTCGATTCGAAAGCCGAGCCAAAAATAAAATAGTCCGCCCATCCACTCACTCATCCACTCACTCATCGGGTGCAAACATGTGAGTCGTGCATCAACAGAAACAACTTGAGGTGATTGTGCTGATTGCGCCTGTTCTTTCCCACTCTTCTTTGCTCCTGCCTTTGGTTTCTGTCCTCTCTTCTTTTTGGCGCTCTGCTTTGGCGCTGCCTGGGCCAGCTGTCCTTTCCCGCAAGGCTCTAGCGCAACTTTCAAACAGACGGCCTGAAGTGGAGTGAAGCTCACATTCTCCTTGCTTGCTTTTTCTTCAGACCTTGGAAAGCAGTTTGGTCTACCATAGTCACAAGTCATTGAGGCGATTCGCATGATTGGCACTGGGATCAATATGTCGCCAACTGTGATCCGTGCTCCACTGATGTGGTTGCCTCCTCTTGAGCTGGAGAGATGTCGGCCTGTATCCAAAACGATCTGGGACCCAGGACCCCAGGATATTCTGCCAGCATAAGCTCCAAATTGCTAAACAGGCAATCAGTTGTCCACGACTTTCAAGCAAGACCACGTGTAGTTTCACTGCCTATATGTCTGGGAAAGAAAATACTAAAACGAGTTTCATCACAAAACAGCCTCTGAATGGAGCTGCACAGGGCAAGGATTGATTGCGGCATCTGGCGTTTCCTTGTTGGCCTCATTCTGTAAAAATGTTTCCACTGGTCCACTAAGTCGTTTCCATATGTTCATCTATGTCAGCATGAGCAAACAGCCAGCAATAAATTGCGTCACCATGAGAGGAGGGTTGTCTAAGGTTTTGGGCCTCTGCTATAAGCACCGCAGTCGGCGCCATACTCTCGGTAGGTGGAACACCTCATGCTGATGATTGCTGAGATGTCTTTTTGATGCCTTCACACAATCCATTGAGTGCGTGTACCTGGTGTCTCTCTACTGCTCAAGTTTGACCAATACCAAGCACATCATTGGCTTTCACAATTCCCAACTTTGAAACTTGAAGCATCGCGTGATTGAGAGGGAGAGAAACACAGTTGGGTAGTGAAGTGTAGACCAAGTTTTAGGTTCTTCGGGAGCTCAACAGAGAGCTTTGCCAACTGCATCTCCCATCAGACTCCAGCCTTTGTTTAGGGGCACACACCATTCCTGTGATCAATTTCTCAACATGCTTCAATTCCGGCTCATGGATCCAAACCCTCGATCCAGGAGTAACCTAATGCATGGTTGAGACCGCATGTAATGTCTGTCCTGAGCACAACGAAAAAGTGGCCTTAGCGGAAAGGAACACAAAGTGCAGTTGAACACAAAGTGCAGTTGGACGCAAAACACCATGAGAACAGCAGCTGTGATAGCAGGCCCTGGAAGAGACCCATAGATATAGAATCCCACAGAAGTTTATAACGGTTGGAGCCGAGTGCACAACTGTCCAGGGTCTGAGTATCCAACTGCCCCATGTGCCATGCCTCCTTCAGGTCGCCGTGCAGTTTGACACCAATGCCTCGGCTGTAGATTCTGTATGGTCATGCGACCCATGTGTCTCATGTATGCTTCACATGGACTGGGCAGCGCAAGCTGCAGCCAGGATGCCCCATCCCATTTCCTTCGTGGTAGTTTTTTTCTCACGGTATGTTTGACCTCAGATGTTTGCAAATGCCGTGGCAGGTGCGCATCCCACGGCCCTCCATCATCTTTTCAAGCAAAGAGACGGATGTCTTTGTGGTCCTTGTGATAGATCTTGCATGGCACCTGTCAAATCACAAATTGCTTGAGGAGTTCTGAGCTGCAATCTTTTGCGTACAAGTGCATTCCGCATACCGCGGTCTTAATTGCTGCAGCTTCATCAAATCACATCATAGACATAACCCAAGCACCTTTTTTCAAAAACAAGGGGCCAACAAATCTCTGCACACAAGGCTTCTCCTGCACAAACACACAGTAAGTATCAGCTCAGCTCTGGGTCCAAGGACCACCAGGGTGGATGTTGCTGTCGGGCACAGCCATCTCTCCGTTGACGATCTCCTGCCATGCAGCCACTGGCCAAGAGAAGCCACTGGCCATGCAGGTCAAGGCCAAAGGAACATCGATGTTCAACTCCTTGGTCTCATCGTTGGTGCGGATCAGGTAGGAGCGGCCAGCCCAACCAATCCAGCCTGCAATGTACAGGAAGATGGTGGCGGGCCACATCACACTGGCGCGCACGTTCCATTCACCCGTGGCCACCACACGAGGATTGCCATCCTTGATGCCGCACAGCCTGTCTCCATAGGCCTCCTCACGGGCTTTGATCATGGCAACCTTCTTGTTGAAGCGAGCATACACTGCGGAACCCTTGGCATACCTGGCCTGCTGCTTGGTGGTCTTGTACAACTCATCCTTGAACTTCTTGTGGTAGTACTTGTTGTTCTTGCAAGGCTCCAGAATGGGGGAGGCCTTGATAGTCCAGTGCTCTGGGGTGTTCTCCAAGTCAATGTCAACTCCACCAAACATGTCCAAAGGCTTGGCGCTCACAGGGGCGCTGGAAGACACAGCCATCACAAGGCCGGCCAAGAGTCCTGCTGCAGTCCACTTCATAAAGGATCCAGCAGCAGATTGCTCGGTTGCTGCCTCATCGGACTTCGAAGACTCCACAATTCCATTTGGCAGTGCCCTAGTTGCGAGCTCTACGTTGCGTGTCTCGCTGCTGGCATGGCTCCCTGCAGGGGTACCAACGAAGGCCAAGCTGGCTGCCAGCAAGCTGACACCGGCCACACACAGCAGAGTTCCCGGGCGTGCCATGGTAGCAACAAGTCCACCAATCTGTGAGCCCAGATCCAGCGAGGCAAGTTTCCTCCACCCTCAACTTTTACAGCATGGGAGTGCTCATTAAAGTGGACATCAACAAACAGATGGAGCAAAAGTACTTATTGTATTTTTGCGGGTGCAGAGCTGATTATCTCTGTCACGAAGTGTTTGCAACAGAATGCTTGAACGAGACACTACCAGCTAGCAAGGACATCTCTGCGTTATTCATAGAAAAACTGATTGCCAAATATGATCCACTTTATCAAATACACATTGATGATCTCAGAGTCTCATAAACAAACAGAACACAAAAAAAAACATGCCACCATTTAAAAGGCTCCAGGCCTGCCAAACAATCTGTTTACTTCCGCACAACATCACGAGGATCACATGTCAAAAAGTCTACTCTCAGGACTGGGTCCAAGGACCACCGGGGTGGATGTTGCTGTCGGGCACAGCCATCTCTCCGTTGACGATCTCCTGCCATGCAGCCACTGGCCAAGAGAAGCCACTGGCCATGCAGGTCAAGGCCAAAGGAACATCGATGTTCAACTCCTTGGTCTCATCGTTGGTGCGGATCAGGTAGGAGCGGCCAGCCCAACCAATCCAGCCTGCAATGTACAGGAAGATGGTGGCGGGCCACATCACACTGGCGCGCACGTTCCATTCACCCGTGGCCACCACACGAGGATTGCCATCCTTGATGCCGCACAGCCTGTCTCCATAGGCCTCCTCACGGGCTTTGATCATGGCAACCTTCTTGTTGAAGCGAGCATACACTGCGGAACCCTTGGCATACCTGGCCTGCTGCTTGGTGGTCTTGTACAACTCATCCTTGAACTTCTTGTGGTAGTACTTGTTGTTCTTGCAAGGCTCCAGAATGGGGGAGGCCTTGATAGTCTAGTGCTCTGGGGTGTTCTCCAAGTCAATGTCAACTCCACCAAACATGTCCAAAGGCTTGGCGCTCACAGGGGCGCTGGAAGACACAGCCATCACAAGGCCGGCCAAGAGTCCTGCTGCAGTCCACTTCATAAAGGATCCAGCAGCAGATTGCTCGGTTGCTGCCTCATCGGACTTCGAAGACTCCACAATTCCATTTGGCAGTGCCCTAGTTGCGAGCTCTACGTTGCGTGTCTCGCTGCTGGCATGGCTCCCTGCAGGGGTACCAACGAAGGCCAAGCTGGCTGCCAGCAAGCTGACACCGGCCACACACAGCAGAGTTCCCGGGCGCGCCATTGTGGAACTACCGATCTTTTCCACTATCCGAGCGAAAAATATTGCGGTCAATGTCAAATTTGCAAAACATATGCAGAGATATACAGAGATACTATGAGATATTAATATTGTGTAAGGCTGTGTAAGGGGCAAGAGCCTCTTACTCTGCTGAGACTCTTGTAGGGGCGAGCAACTTGCCAAACCCATTGGATAAATTGCTTGAGAGTAGGATTCCCTATTGCGGAATATGGTGGAATATTGTGAATCTGCATTCCCTCAGATCACAAAGTCTGGTCAATGCCCGTTTCAAAAAGAATTCGCTAATCTTGCACTAAATCATAGTCTAACAAGAGCTCACCATAGCCTAATGGATTTCCGCAAGTGTCTTTCCCTAGCTACACAATCTAGACATCCGCAGAGAAGTTTCTGCTTGACTCGAAAAATGTACCTAATTCACCGAACACAGACTCATCATCAACAATCATCACTGGATGTCAGACTGTCAAGTCCTGCTCTGGTCACTTTTCAAAAACTGCGGACTTGTGCCTCAACCTAGAATTCAATCAGCTTAGCTCTGGGTCCAAGGACCACCGGGGTGGATGTTGCTGTCGGGCACAGCCATCTCTCCGTTGACGATCTCCTGCCATGCAGCCACTGGCCAAGAGAAGCCACTGGCCATGCAGGTCAAGGCCAAAGGAACATCGATGTTCAACTCCTTGGTCTCATCGTTGGTGCGGATCAGGTAGGAGCGGCCAGCCCAACCAATCCAGCCTGCAATGTACAGGAAGATGGTGGCGGGCCACATCACACTGGCGCGCACGTTCCATTCACCCGTGGCCACCACACGAGGATTGCCATCCTTGATGCCGCACAGCCTGTCTCCATAGGCCTCCTCACGGGCTTTGATCATGGCAACCTTCTTGTTGAAGCGAGCATACACTGCGGAACCCTTGGCATACCTGGCCTGCTGCTTGGTGGTCTTGTACAACTCATCCTTGAACTTCTTGTGGTAGTACTTGTTGTTCTTGCAAGGCTCCAGAATGGGGGAGGCCTTGATAGTCCAGTGCTCTGGGGTGTTCTCCAAGTCAATGTCAACTCCACCAAACATGTCCAAAGGCTTGGCGCTCACAGGGGCGCTGGAAGACACAGCCATCACAAGGCCGGCCAAGAGTCCTGCTGCAGTCCACTTCATAAAGGATCCAGCAGCAGATTGCTCGGTTGCTGCCTCATCGGACTTCGAAGACTCCACAATTCCATTTGGCAGTGCCCTAGTTGCGAGCTCTACGTTGCGTGTCTCGCTGCTGGCATGACTCCCTGCAGGGGTGCCAACGAAGGCCAAGCTGGCTGCCAGCAAGCTGACACCGGCCACACACAGCAGAGTTCCCGGGCGCGCCATGGTAGCAACAAGTCCACCAATCTGTGAGCCCAAGCCAAACCGCAACAGGATCAGCATGTGCTTTGTCAAGTTTGACGGGTCAATTTTTTGCCACCTACATCAGTGAAAGAACGGACGAAGACAGTATTCTTGTTTCAGTGTGAAAAATTCGAATATCTTGCATTTCTAAACTGTCACAGAAGCACATGATGCAATGATTGTATTAAGACCTGATCAAAGAGCATGTGGAACGAAACCATTGCGATCACAAATTTGAAATGGAGGTCAATCATAGGTCGATCTTCGTCTTCTTGTCAAGGTAAAATTTGAGGAAGTTGGTTTGGCCCCTGGTTTGGCTGTTTTCAGTGCCGCAGCTTGCTAGGAAACTGTTTGCAGCTCAAAATGAAGGGCTTCTGGCCAAGGTGTTTCCCGTCCATCCAACAGAGTAAGGGTACCCATATGCAGCCTGGGTTTCTTGTTTGGGATTAGTTGCACACTGCCAATGGGCGCTATGTATGCTTTATGGTCTCCTTTTTCCACCTTGGCTGCTAGCTGCTAGTTGGTTGGTGTTCCTTTTTTCCACGCTTGATCATTTGGTTTCTTCATGTTGTTTCTTGAGGGAAAAAATAGCATCCTGGTTGATTTGATGACCCTTGTTCTCAAACACTTTTCTCAGTTGCATGTGTTACCCTTTTACACCATATGTCGCAAATTCGAAGCCATGCATTCTGTGCCTAAGAAACCATACTGCATGCTATGGCTCTCCAAGAACAACAATCAACAATGATACAAACTAGAAGCATTTCCCTTCAGAACAACGCACCATTTTCTCTTTCGCTCAGCAACTTCGGTCGACTTGTAGCTCTAGACGACACCTCAAAAAGCAGAGCTGAGCTTAGCTCTGGGTCCAAGGACCACCGGGGTGGATGTTGCTGTCGGGCACAGCCATCTCTCCGTTGACGATCTCCTGCCATGCAGCCACTGGCCAAGAGAAGCCACTGGCCATGCAGGTCAAGGCCAAAGGAACATCGATGTTCAACTCCTTGGTCTCATCGTTGGTGCGGATCAGGTAGGAGCGGCCAGCCCAACCAATCCAGCCTGCAATGTACAGGAAGATGGTGGCGGGCCACATCACACTGGCGCGCACGTTCCATTCACCCGTGGCCACCACACGAGGATTGCCATCCTTGATGCCGCACAGCCTGTCTCCATAGGCCTCCTCACGGGCTTTGATCATGGCAACCTTCTTGTTGAAGCGAGCATACACTGCGGAACCCTTGGCATACCTGGCCTGCTGCTTGGTGGTCTTGTACAACTCATCCTTGAACTTCTTGTGGTAGTACTTGTTGTTCTTGCAAGGCTCCAGAATGGGGGAGGCCTTGATAGTCCAGTGCTCTGGGGTGTTCTCCAAGTCAATGTCAACTCCACCAAACATGTCCAAAGGCTTGGCGCTCACAGGGGCGCTGGAAGACACAGCCATCACAAGGCCGGCCAAGAGTCCTGCTGCAGTCCACTTCATAAAGGATCCAGGAGCAGATTGCTCGGTTGCTGCCTCATCGGACTTCGAAGACTCCACAATTCCATTTGGCAGTGCCCTAGTTGCGAGCTCTAGGTTGCGTGTCTCGCTGCTGGCATGACTCCCTGCAGGGGTGCCAACGAAGGCCAAGCTGGCTGCCAGCAAGCTGACACCGGCCACACACAGCAGAGTTCCCGGGCGCGCCATGGCAGGATTGCTTCGATGGAGTCCAGTCCCTCCCTCCCTTGAGCAAACAACACCAGCAGCATAACCAGAGCTGATGCTTCAGCGAATCATGCCTGAACGATCTCATGATCTGCAGCAAACGTGCAAGTGTGGATGCAAACGTTTGCCCTCAGAATCCAGAAAGCTCATGACAAGGTCGGCTATCTGTTTGCGCATGTCCAATGTTGAATCACACTCTTACAAACCACACAAGGAGCGCCTTAACCACATCGTGTGCTTGAAGTGCTTGGAACATTTTGAACGCCGCCAAGCGCCGGTTGTCCAAAGAGAAGAAGTCGCCATTGTCTCACCAAGTGGTAGGTAGAAAACTATTCGACGCCTCTTTCACAGTACCTCAAGTGGAAGCCTTTGGATTTACACCATTTATAGTGCAAGGACTGCAGAGCAAAGCAGACAAAAACCACATGACTATCCTCCCACTCCTTTTGCTCGTTTCCCTGGTGCCTTCCAGAATGCACCTAAGTGCAGTAAATTCAGAGGGAACGAGCCGACCAGACAAAAGGTCATGCACCTGGCGCTGCAAAGCTCATATCGTGCTTTCCAACAGAGGCAGAAAGCTAGGAGTTCTCTATGTTGACCAACATGTGTCAATTAATTGATTCTTGTGCGAAGGCTTTCTTTGAGAAAAGGGTTTTGGAAACGACAAATGAGGATCCAGGAACAGC